CTCTGGCACTGGTAATAACCTTACAGAACAATGTTGATCAATCATCAGGCTATCCACTTAATAAAAAATGACAAGTTCCCTGGTGTTGTATTGGCTTGCCGTGACATATGCCATATTTAAACTGTTTATCAATTACTAAACCAGCAAACATAAAACCTTTTTATAATTCATGTTTGTTCTCTACATTAAATGTTGATTTTTATAACAATCTGATCATGCCTGTAAACTGGTGTGAATTCTGTAAATATTATTTTCAGAATATATTATTATTATTATTATTATTATTATTATTATTATTATTATTATTATTATATAAGAACAGTCAGAATAAATAAGCCAATTAGTGAAAAAGTGAAAATGTGGTTATAGAAGAATGAATAGATTGACTTATTTGGAAGCTAGAATACTTTATGTGGGCTTAACGTAGCATGTGTTTGTGGTGCCGACTGAATATGAGGATAAATATCCGTGAAATATGAAGATGTCGTATAAGCCATAGTAAAGTATATAGCGTCTATTGATGGATCATGTATTCGAACTCACATACCTGGAGTTTATTTGAGGTAGAAATAATCCAGTCTTAAAGTGAAAACTGCTTTGATAGGCGATATTTGTTGCTGTACTGCAAATGATAATAGTAACAATAATAAAAAGAGGAGTCAGCGTACGTAGTTTACCGCGTCATAAACAGATGCATCAGTTAATGTTTAGGCAAATCTTGAATGTATCTTTCGTGATATCAAAGGGTCATTTTAATTTAAGTTAGGAAAACTCAGTTTACTATACAGAGTTTCGGTCAGCAATAGAATGAAATAAGTCACGTGAATTAAATGGATTATAGGAATAATGTCCAAATAATTGGGATGTATGATGATTTTAAAACTAATAATATCAATGGAATCCTCGAGTGATTTAAGTTAAACCGATTTGAGTGATCTACCCATGGACGTGGATACGATTTTCACGTGTGAGGGGGGGGGCTGTGATTCAAACTGTTGAATAGTCATATACTACGATGAAATGCAAGTTTAGTGCTTCCAAGTCTTCAGCAGTTACCAAACTCAGATCTGTTAAGGATTTCAATGAAATTCAATAATATCCACAACATCATTCTAATACTAACCATATTGACAACAATAATGATAATCCAGTCTTGTGAGTAAAAGTTGTAATCAGTGCAATGTAATTGAATTTAAAACAATTAGCCCCTTTGATAAATTTCGATTATGCAATGAGAAGACGAAGTTTATCTGAATTATGTGATATATTATCGTAATACATTTCTAACAATCTGATCACACAATTTTATATGAAAATTAAAAGGTCAACTAGACAGGTTAAGGTAAGAAAATAAATAAAGTACACAAAAACAATGTGATGACTGCTTTGGATAATAAATCAGCATTGCCAGGGTAGGTTAAGAATAAGAACAAATTGTTTTTGAACACATAAAGGGGTTTCAATTTCCGTATAGCCAAGGCTTCAATAAACCTTAGTATGCGTCCTTGATTGCTTTTGTACAACACTACAAATGCTGATTTGATGTTAACCTTATGACCAGTTTCAATCAAATGTTTCGCAATGGAGGAAGATGTTTGTCTATCCTGTGATCTTATTTGACCATTGAAATTCATTTGGTTCTGCAGCCATTTAGGTATGTGTTCCGCCACATTTATTTTCAAATCACGATTGCTCCTCCCTATGTACGTGTTCCCGCACATACATGTAAATTGGTATACACAATGGGATGTGATACAATTGCTTATGTGTTGTTTAGGATTTTGTTGAAACATTGACCTTGTCTTTTCAATGATGACGAGTTGAGCTGCAAAGAATGTCCTGTTTATGGCTAATTTTAGTCTCCGCGTAAGGAATTAGGAAATGCATGTAAAGAGATAAAAACCGATATGTAACTTGGGAATACAACGACAGAAGTAAACATAACAGCAGACTGACTAAAGAAGAAGAGTCTATTAAACACTTTACGTATAGGGTTGGCTACTATAGGGCCACTGCAGTCAGACAGTTTGAATCTTTCTCTTTCGGATAGGTAAATCCGGTTTCTATGATGAATAAACTCTATGGATTCCACTATATATGCTTTATTTTGACAATTGTAACACGGTGATCATACATTCATAAAACTCTAAAGACTAATGACAAAGTAAGTGAAGACAATTTAACTGCTCAGTATTGTTTGTTCATGAATCCATTATAGTTGATTATATGGGAACAGTGAATAAACCCTGTGATGATCACTCATTTCTTCAAATTCACTCATAATATTCATCTGCGAACTTTCAGTTTATCAATGTATCACGTCACCAATGGATGTATCAGCAAATCATGAAACAACTGGAAATAACTGAATCTCCATTGTGTTACATACTTAATTACTTACGCCTGTTGCTTCTAATAGAGCATAGGCCGCCGACCAACATTCTCCAACACACTCTGTCCAGGGCCTTTCATACTAGTTCTATCCAGTTTTTATTCATTCTTCTCATATTTGTCTTCAATTCTCGATGTGATGTGTTCTTTGATCTTCCTCTTCTCCTTGGACCTTCAGGATTCCATGCTTTAACTAGAAAATCATTATTTTATCATCAAAGTTGAAAATCTATTTAGACGACCATTCAAGAACTGTGAAGATTATCAGTAGTAGAAATATGTTAGTAAAGTTTTATGACAGTTAATTATCTGATTACGAATTGAACTTTTAATCTGGATAAAAATTTACATGCTACTTAGTAATTTTAGTACGTGTAGCGGAATGTCAGAAAGTTTACATCTATTCGTATTATGTGTAGTGAGATTGAGGTTATGCTGAGTTAAACTTGGTACAGCTATGATTGGTTAATATATATGTGATAACTCCGTTTTATTGGTTCGTTTCACAGAAATTTAGTATAAAAAGCGTGTCGAACTACTAGGTCTGTGTGTTAGAAAATTTGTTCACTTGAAGTAAGTTATGAATTGTCTATTGTTTTGTGATGTTATTTACATCCGATTGACACGTTTCCTGTGACAATCACAGAGGAATCGGTTTGTCTAATATAGTGTCTAAAATATTAGCTTCAATAATACTTAGGCGCTTAACCAAAGCTCGCGAAGAGCAGATTAGAGAAAACCAGGCTGCTTTTCGACCTGGACATGGTTGCATAGACCAAGTATTCACTCTACGTCAGGTCCTAGAAAATAGACATACATTCAGACGTCCCACAATAGTAGTATTTCTTGACCTTTCTTGACATTTGACTCCGTTGATCGTGAGGTTCTATGGCAGTGTTTGTCAGTGAAAGAAGTACATTAACCTCATTAAGACTCTCTACTCGAACACAACTGGTCGAGTTAGAGCCTATGGCGAACTGTCATCACAAGTGGTTACCTCAAGTGGTGTTCGTCAAGGCTGTCCACTCTCCCCATTCTTGTTTAACTTTGTCGTCGACATGCTTTTAGAGGTATCACTTTCATCATCCCAATCTCCTGGAGTTGAACTTTTACCAGGATGCTCACTTGTCGACTTAGAATACGCCGACGACATGGTTTTATTTGGTGAAGACGCCGACTAAATGCAGAGTCTTCTGACCACCATAAGCAACTATTCAGATATGTTCGGGATGTGATTCTCCCCTCGAAGTGCAAAATGTTACTTCATAATTGGGTTACATTGACACCTGAACTAATGATAGGGGGTGAAGAAGTTGAGCGTGTCGACCACTTCACTTATCTTGAGAGTCTCATCAGCCATTGTGGTCTGGTGTGTGACGAAATCTCAGCACGGATACAGAAGGCTCGTCTAGCTTTCGCCAACTTGCGTCATTTAAGGCGTAGGTGAGATATCAGTCTAACAACAAAAGGACGGGTTTACTGCGCAGCAGTTCGTTCCGTCCTACTTTGTGTTCTACCAAATTCTGACTTTTTGAATTCTTCATGTCCGTATCCTTTTTCTCTTTCCAAATTTATTTCACTATTATGCTCCTTCAATAACATCTTCAAATCTTAAGCTTTCACATAATACTTATACTCTTACTACTTCTACCACTATAGAATTTGAATCGACAACTTCATCTCTGTGCTAATGTCGTATGGCAAATCGAACTGATGTACGTACGTACGAAATTCTACGTTGTGACTGACTGACACGTTTCGTGCATTGATTAATAATTGAATGAAAGTTCCTCTTGGAACACAAGCACAGTTCTTATTTAGTTGTTTGTTTGAGTAAGAGACTGAATATTGAAGACTTCTAATCGACAGATTTCCTTCTGCCTAAACTTACCCGCACACATCAGCTGTTAGCTTTATCGAACACCAGATGTGTTCAATTTTGCCATTGATTTTAATCACCAACTGAATTCATCTTATGAAGTATATGAAACTAGTAAGATTTAGATTATTGTTTAATTCGCTTTCCATCTTTTTTCTTCATTACATTCTGGACAAATTCAGAGTGTTTCGAAATCCTGAGATTAGCTTGATCGTTTCCAAACCAATAAGTAGGAATTCAGTGCTCTATAGTACCAGTGTCTACCAGCTTGTGACGTAACGATTTCTCCACCGACTTCCTTTCTCATTCCTAATTTACATCGTTTTACAGCAAACGATTTTCAAGCAGATTTCGGGAGAGCATTTGTAAATCATTTTATTAATGAATAATGACTTTCATTCTACAAATGTTTGTTATTCATACATATATATTTCTGCAGTTGAATTCACAAGTCGATCTATGGTAGAGGTTAAGCGTTCGTGCACGAGGCCAAAAGTTTTGTGTTCGATATTCCGTGTGTGATCGTGGATAGGTACTTGTGATAAGTCCCATACTGGCACAAAATGGTCATCCAATGCATCCACGTTTGCAATGCTGATATACATTAGATCGACTTAAGAATTCAGCTGTGAAAATCAATAATTGACCTAATTAATCGTTTTCAATTCATATATATCTTTTACTTAAATAAATCAAAAAAGCGTTTTCTGAAATTATTCAACCTCTAAAAATGATTTCACAACTGGTCACAGTGAAAGTTGCCATAGTTCTCTTATGGACATTTAATGTAATGAATGTTGAAGCATACAAATTTTCAGCACCAATAAAATTTGATGATCGCGGTAAGTGTTTTATTATTATTGGTGATGATAAATATTGGCAGTATTCATGCACTGAATGAATTCATCCGATTTCTAGTGAACTGGCGAAAAAGCATATCAAACTAAGTAAACATTTTACACAGTTTATGAATACACAGGTAACATCAGTAAAGTTTGACCTGATAATTTCAAATAAATTGAACACTAGGATACTTGCATACACACTTAATAACGCCTGATGCTCCTCGTGGAGGAGCATTCGTCATCCTGCTCTGTTGGGTATTGAGTAAATTGTTTGAAATAGAATCAATATATTTGTACATATCCGAATGAGTAGAGAAATTCAATGTTTAAATGTTTTGACGTTTCATGATCCATTGTAATTTCAGTTCATCAGAGAATAAATAAATAAATAAATAGTACTGGATGGTACCTATTTGAACTTGACGCAATTAAATTTCATTGTTCATCCTCTGAAAATTGACTTACGATGAGTCACGAAACGTCAGAAATTTTAGACATTTCATCCTCTCACTTATTGAAATATCTACAAATATACTCTTTCCAACTACAGTTTATGAATATGTTATGGGTTCACTATATTATTGAAAAATGTAGATTCAGTTACTAAAGCCCCACGATAGCTTCATCAGACAACTTTGTGTTGATTAATTTTCGATGCAATTTATAGTGTAGTCAATTCGTATAAATGCAAAGTCTCAGTCAATATGTTGACTGGTCTTGAGGCCGTTCATGCTGACCATCTAACTGTTACTGTTAAAAGTTTGAAACAACGTTTTAAACTTCCAAACGGAGATATCACATATATTGAGATAAATTCATATCATAATTCTACTGTTCGATTAACAACAATTCATAACACCATGGGGTGGACATGTAGATTTCAGTTATTATTCATAAACTGTAGCCAACGGTAATAACTATTTATCTTTAATACCCTATTCAGTCGAAAAGTTCAGCATGGAGCCATCTAGGATGATGACTTGCTCCAATCCTAGGTAAAGGAGGAAGGTGCGGTGTGAAGTATGAATCCCTACTCTGAATAATCAAAGCCTACATTAAAAATATACTAATCATAATCAATTAGTTAATCCATTTAAGGTCTTTGCTGTTAGATGGGACATGAATTGAACTTCAGAACAAATGTAGGAAGACTCAAGTTCATGGTTATCTGGATATTCATGATCGGCGGCCTAACAGGCTCAAATGAGTATGTAAGTATTTTGTCGATTGCAAGTATTACAGTATGACCCATAAACACCACTTGAAATTATCAATGCGGACATTTTGATCGACCTATTCTACAATCTTCAAACTCTTATTTTATTGTCCAGTCACTTGGAAAATAATCTAAAGACAAATATTGGAATATCGCATAAATGTGTTTCGGTTTTCCTTAGTGTATCAATGACACATGTTTAAACTCAGTTTGCCTAATTTAATTCATCCTTTGTCCGCACTTCGATATTACCTAACAAGTTGTGTATATGATAATTTGTTTATTTAGGACATTGGCACATTATTTTGGGCAATGTGACATTTTCATTAAACGCAGATTTTCAATTAACAATAAGTGATGGTGACTGTGAGACAACATTATCTTTGAAGCCACCAACTGAAATAGAGATACTTTCTAAACGTGGAGTACGTAACGGAACTTCGTAAGTTCAAAAACACGATAGAAATTGAGTTGTTAAATCAGTTGTTCCCTTATCATGACAGCGGCATTGTAATAATCGGTAGACAAAATGACCATAACGTTGATCGTTCAAATTTCGATTTTATAGAACACAGTCCTATACAGTCAATTTTCTATTGAGAATACATACACAAGGAAATCATTTTTCACATATGTTCCTCTGTACTGCGATTTCAGTGAATGAATTGCCTTCTTTGTCCTTGACTGGTCACTCTGTGCTATTACATTTTACTGATAGTCTTTTCGTTGAATCATCCAGTTGTCTTACATGTCATTCTCTTGCAGCTCATTCCACCATCATTGTAAAGTCATCCACATATTTCTGCCTGTCAGTTCTAATGCTGGTCTTTACTTGTTTGCTTGCTTCTGTGTATCGATCTTGTGCCTTTACTTTCTCTGTTCTTTTTGACCGCTGTTAATCGCTCTCTTTCTCCTCCTTTCTTGAATCTTGGACGGGTTATCTGTGGAGGTCCATAGCTTGTGATGATGCTTCTCGAGGCCAAACATCACACGAAACGTTGAAGTTAATACTCTTTCATCCCCTTCCAAATGTCTTCCATATTAATTTCTTCTTCTTTGTGTGGATACTGTGACTTTATAAATGAAATCAGTAGCTAGTTGACATAATATATCCATCTTGCAAGTGTTCAATGTCATCTAAACATGAGATACCGCAAATGTTTTCAGTGTCAGAAGAGCTGAAGTGTTTTTCGGAACTAGTTCATCACAATTATAAGCCCTTCTTAGATTTAACTACTCACTGTTATGACGTTCGATGTTCAAAATCTGATACTAATACACAATGTGCTACATGCTGACCCACACCCACCTTGCTCCCTACCAACTAATTGAGCGAAAACAAAATAGCGAACGTATTGATGAAATTATCTGGTTGCAAGTTCGAGCTAGGAGGTTCTCTATCTGAATTTGATCATCTGTCACCAATGAGGCATACATGTCGTACATTAGCAAACGGAAGTACAATTCTCTTGGCCTTAGGTATATTATCTCGCCATCTTCTCTGTGAATATACGTTATCGAATGAATTCCGAATCTTCCTTCTGAATATTGACTGAGCAGGAGAGACACCCTTAGGTGAGGCTGCATACTTAGTTGTTGCCGGTGATTTTCTCGATTCAGTTTCAGTTTCAGTTTGGAAAGGACAGGAGGCTTGATGGCCTGTGTTAGTCCTGGCAATGATGGTCTCTCAGCTGATCCAACTTTCTTTTGAAGGAGTCGACGGATGGAGCCTCAACCACGTGCTGAGGTAATGAATTCCACTCGTTGATTATTCGATGGGAAAGTCGGTAGTCAGCTGACAAGTAATTCGTTCTGGGCTTGCGAACTTTTTTGGAGTGTCCTCGTAGATTTTCTGTTTTGGAAGACAAGAAAAATGAGGGCATATCAGGTGCAAATTTGTCATTTAGCAATTTGAAAACTATAATCAAATCACCTCTGATTCTTCTATATGACAGCGGGAATAGGTGTAGCTTGGTCAGTCTAGTACCATACGGGACCTTCGCTATTCCGGGAATCAGCCTAGTTGCTGTTCTCTGAACCCTTTCCAAGGGTTCACTGTCTTTTTTAGGCAGGGGTTAGCTGCTTGTATACAGTACTCAAGTTTAGGGCGTACGAACACTGTATACAAAGTCAAAAACGTTTTAGCGTCAAGATGCCTAAAAGCCCTGCGTATGGACCATAAAGTCCTAAAACCTTTGGCGGCTATTGCACGGCAGTGTGCAGTAGTCTTTAAGTCTTGACTGACGATGACGCCTAAGTCGTTGTGTGCCTGAACAATAGGTAACTCAGTGTTATTCATCGTGTATGTATCTGTACCCTGGTGGCCAATATGCATCACAATACACTTGGAAGTGTTTATCGGCAATTGCCAGGTTTGGGACCATTCAGATAATCTCTCCAGGTCATTTTGAAGTTCTAAGCTATCGCCCTTGCTTTGTATCGCTCTCCATATCTTGACATCATCAGCATAGAGTAAGACCGATGACGATAGTGGACGAGGGGGATCATTTACGTACAGGAGGAATAACACTGGCCCCAAAACTGTACCCTGGGGGACTCCACTAAGCACAGTTTCCCAGCTAGACAACTTGGAGTTAACCCTTACTCTTTGTTGACGCCCAACTAGGAAGTCTTTTATCCACATCAATAGATTGCCTCCAATCCCGACATTCCTTAGCTTATATAACAGCCGGTTATGCGGAACTTTGTCGAAAGCTTTGCTGAAATCGATGTAAGCTACGTCTATAGGTAATTTTTGGTCCTTAAGAGCGCACCAGCTTTCACGAGCGACTAATAAGTTTGTGAGACAAGAGTAACCTGTTCTAAAACCATGCTGCTTTTCGGAGAGGATCCGGTTTTCATCGAGATACTTTAACAGTCCCTTCCGAATAATCTTTTCTAAGATTTTAACAACCACACTAGTTAGGCTAATTGGTCGGTAATTCTCAGGCTTATGTTTTGTACCTGTTTTGAAGACTGGACTTACTATGGCGTTCTTCCAGTCTTTTGGTAGACGACCCTGGGTTACGGATAGATTAAAACATACACTTAAAGGGTTCGCAACAAAGTTAGCCAATTCCTTTAGTAACCTAGGATGCAGTTCATCGGGTCCAGTGGATTTACCTATGTCAAGCTTAACTAGCAGACCAAAGACATCGAGTTCTTTAATGGTTACGCTGTCCAGTGCTTGTGTGGGTGGATTTTCATCGACTGGTGAGAAGGGTGTTTCTATGGTGTATACATCGCTAAAGTATTTAGAGAATACTTGAGCTTTGCCAAAGTCATCCTCCACTAGTGATGTGGCAGTACTGTCTCCCCATAGTGAAGGAACATTTCTTCTTCTTTTTGTCCTTTGGTTTATATACGAATACAAGCGTTTAGGGCATTCTATGGATTCCTTAACGATTTTCTCTTCGTACAGCTTTCTGGCCTTACGGAGGGTCGAGGCACAGGTATTTCAAGCCTTTTGATACTGAGATTTCGCCTCGTCAGTCCCCAGTAACCTAAATCTGTCCCACATTTTCCTTCTTTGACGGAGAAGGATGCGAACCTCCCTACTGAACCACGGTGGGGAGTTTCTCGGTCTCTTAGGTGTAGTCCAAGGGATGTGGGGGGTGGTAACTTTTAAGTATAAATTCCGGAATACGTCCCAAGCCGTTTCGATTGATGACTCTGGGTCTAATTTCCAATCTACTAATGATGCTGATTTCATGATGTCTGCTATGTTTGCTTTCCAGACGTTAGGTCTGGATTGAGCTGAAGCGTACTCGTGATCGACAGTTATATGGAAGTCAAAGCTTAAAACTGCATGATCACTTTTGCCTAGGGGTGGCATGTAATCCAGGTTTGCAACATCATCCTCATAATGAGTCAATATAAGATCTAGTAAGGATGATGCAGAACCCGGGTCGTACCTAGTTTCTTCCTTCACGTGTTGCACTAGAGCACATGTGATTATCGCATCAACTAGTTCCTGTTCGAAGGCGTTTGATGACGATTCAGTCCGCAGATTTCCCCAGTCCACCATGGGTGCATTGAAGTCCCCTAGGATTAGACATCGATCACTTCGTGATAAAGTGTTGAGACTGCTTAGCAGGACCTCGTTTGCCTCACAGCTTGGACTGCTATAGATCAAACTAAGTAGCAACTCTTGTCCCCTGCATTTCAGGCGGCAGCAAACTAATTCATACGTCCCACTCTCATGGGATGCACTGTCGATAATGGTGAATAGAATAGCATTCCTAATGAATAGAGCTACTCCCCCTCCTTTACGCGTTTGTATTCTATCGGCCCTTACCAATGTAAAACCCTCGAAATCAAGTTCCCTCCTATCTATAGACGGCGTCAGCCATGTTTCTGTGACTGCGATTATGTCTGGCCTAGTTGAGTCAATCTGTACACCTAGTTCCGGTAGCTTATTTAGTAAGCTCCGGGCGTTGGTATAACAGATCCGAAGCCTATTTAGGTGGCCTCGTGCTTCACCCAGAGTAGCTTCGGCATCATCCTCTGTCGAAGCCTCACAACCCGAAAATTTACAATTTTCAGGTCTTTTTCGCCAGCGTCTAATCTGAGCTGTAATTCCTTTTCGGCTTCCCGTCTTTTAACACGGTCCGCCAACGGTACGTCCTTACGGAGAAAAACTCCTGAACCCTTTAATTTATGTCCATTTTCTAAGATTAAGTCGCGTTCGTTTGAGGATTTGAAAACGACTTTGAGTAGTCTAGACTGATTTGGTTTCAGCTGCGCTAGATTTCCTAGTCTAAACACCTTTAGCAAGGTGACTCCGGGGATGTTTTTGGGCATAACTTGGTTGAGTAGTTGTTTTATCAACACAATGTCATGCTCAAAACGAGCTTTCGGTTCTAAGTTGTCACTCTCCTTGACTCTATGGAGAATGACTGATCTGTCGCTGTGATCAGACCTCGGCTTGTCGACCCTTTTGGTGGGGGTATGATTTCCTTTTACGTCATTTTGGCGTTTTTTTTCTTACGACCCGTACCCAATCGCCAACGTTCTTTGGAGTGGTAACCACATTCGCGTCAGGCGTACTGTGGGATTCCGGAAGAGTCAGGACGACTTGGGAGATCGGGTCATCTTTCGCGCTGGAAACCGATCGAGCCTTGCGGTTTCGGCTTCCTGAAGTTCCCTTCTGGGTACCATTTTTGATACGAGGGACAGAAGAGACTTTTTTGCGCGAGTTTCTGGTTGTAACAGTCCTCTTTGGAGGATGTTCTTCCTCCTTAGTAGGGTGTGGGTCGGCAGTTTTTGGACTCACATGGGCCTGTCTTGTGTCAATCTGCGTGTCGACAGATTGAGTTCTGACTGATGTATCCCGACCGCGCTTGCCGAGACACTTTTTTGCGGCATTTACTATTGAAATGGCCTCGGTTAGCAGGCTATTTGCATCCAAACAGCACTGTTGACATAGCCATACACACATATTTTTACTAAACCGCTTGAAAGCTGCAGGTGTTAGATTCGTGCAAACATCGTGGTACCAACCTTTGCACTCATCGCACTGCATGCCGCTATCAACAGGATATCGACATCCTGGGCGGTGGCAAATGCTTTTGTTGCATCTTCCAGTCATCTTAGGATGCGAAAGTGAGTGTTGACTATAAGTAGAAAAAAAAACTATAAACAGTTAGGACCAAAGTACTAACAGACACAATGGAAAAAAAAGGTACTCTGGAGTACCGACGATAAAACTATTTAGGATACCAAAGATGATACTCTAATAGAATACTTTAACTGAAAGAAATTCAATCAAAGTATAAAAACAGTAGTCTTGATACGTTAATAACGATCAAAACAATAGAATTTACTCAACGAGAAAAAATACCACTGTCCTTTTTAAATAGCGCGCAACATTGTGTCCTTTCCTTTCCGATAATAATAATATTCGCTGTAAAATTCCTGTCGCCGTTTGTGCATCATATGGATTTGGATGAGAAAATACTTGGTTGCAAATAAAATTGGATTACTGATCGAGCATTTCTGAATCTGAATTACAAATGAGAATAAATGGAAAATCGAACATCAATAATTCTGTGATCCAGTTAAGAACCAATAGACTGAAGTACTCATCAGTAACACGGCATTTGGATTTAGTTATTAGGTCATTAGATTTGACTGTTAATTTATTAATTACAGAAATTTCATTGACATACGCAATACAATCTTTGTGCAGTCATTAATAGGATGAATGCTTGACCGACTAAGCTCGTGCCACATTTTGCGAGAAGTGAAATTTACATTGAATGTAGTACCCAATTGTGAAATGATAACTTGGTCATTGACCTTAATCGACAAACAGTTGAGTTATCATTGAGAGTTAGATTTTGACAATACATGAACACAATTAATGGTTTTTGGAATTGAACTATGGAATCAGGGGTTGCTGTGTTTGTATAATCCCTCCTTATGCTTCTTTACTCCATATTTTGATCATTTATGCTGGGTTGTACAGGGGATTACTGGTACTACAGCAAAATATTGTGTATACCGTGAATATAAGAATACGAAAAATATCTGACTAATCAGTGACTGGTTAATGATGAAAGCTGATCAGCAACACAATTCGTGTTTGAACGTAGCTTATAATATATAAAATATTTTTGACTTTATATGAGCTAGATTTCAGCATACCTCAAAAAACAAATTCAAATCAAATCTATCACTTCAAACATTACAATAGTATTACTGCTTTGATCCTTTTCAGTGTGTGTACACGATGTGGTTGGAATCACGCAAACGTAACGGGCGGACGAAAGCAAAGAAAATTAATTCCTGACTCACCGAACTTAATTGATCTTCCAGGGATTCATGATAAGTATTAATAATTGTAACAATAGTATCGAAACTAGTAGTAGTAGTAGAGTTAGTGGTAGTGTCAGTGGCAGATAACTTTGAATGAATTTATATTTTGCACAACCAGTTTTGTCTTTTGATTTATATGTTTCCATCCAACACGTCAATGAAATATAACATGAATAACAAAACACTCATCGTTCTCACTAAGGAAACGTCTCTTAGCGAAATTTCAAATTTATTAGAAAACAATATAGACTTTCTCAAATACTGTGCGATTAGAACAGTTCATGTAGCCATCAGTAATATCTCCGTCTGTATTGCATACGTATCATAGACTTCAAATGTAGCCTGTCCGTGAATGGAAGACTTTTGGAATATTTTACTTATAAATGGTGCATGCTACTAAGTTGTCTGAATTTCAACATGCTCAGACGCGAGCTTATCTGTAGGTTCAACGTACCGAAATGAATGCACTCAGATTTTTCAGCACTACCAGGGAGAAAGCATTCGTCACATTCGTCCAAGAGTCAATCCAAATTGTTTCTTATAATACAGCAAACATTTCAACTAGCACGTCAGTGGAATGCGCATATACTACTCTAGTGTAGCCAGAAAAACGAAGGTTTCACCAGATGTGAAGCAACTGGAAATGTCGTTAAAATACGTGATGGACAGTAAGTGTCCAGTGAGTGAGCCCGATTGAACACCACTAGTGTTGTTCTGAGCGTAGGAGAAGTGTTGTCTTATTCTCATTACCTAGGTTGGATTCTGTATGAAGGATGAGATGCAGTTATGCATTTTATCTGCTATATCGAATGTGATTTCCATAGAACAGACGAGTATTGTACGTTATCCAACATTTCAGTAAGTTCAGTGCAGCGAGTGGCAAATAGATTCCCTTCACTTATATGGTTTATCAGATGATCACGTCATCTCGGGTGATAGGTTATGTATAATTCTTTCATCAGTGTTGACCAGATGAAAGAAATGATGAAGAAAATCCATATGTGTTCACAAGGGAAATCACCAGTCTTAATTAGAGGTACACTCGTAAAGAGAAAGCTGGAATCGAAAGGAAATCCGAAGCCATTTTTCCACCATTGATTTACGCAAGAAGATCAATTAGTTCAAATGCATCTCCGAAGTAGAATTTAAATAATTAATTACGGATCAGGCTTGTTGACTTACTCAACCATACTAATTTCAGATGGTTTTGAAAGGAGTAGAAGATTTCGCTTAACAGGCTTTCTTATCTATTGACAGTTGATTACCGTTGCCTCCAGGTAGGAACTTGGGCATGTCAACGATAAAAGAGAAAAACGATTCGGCGAATTATAGTGAAATGCTTTCCTTGGTCCTTACGAATGCTTCAAGTCTTCTTTTGAAGAACTCATGGGATTTCACTTGGATTAGCTCACTCGGCACCAAATTCCTGAACTTGACTACTCGTAAACTAGAAGGTGTGCCGACAGTCCGTTCTACTGTGTTATATCTCCAGTTTCTGCATTTTACCCTTACGGTGTGTGTTAGGACTGAGCTTAAGCAGGAATTTAATGGGATATCCAGAAGTGTTTAGGATGTTGTAAGTCACTCAAAGGTCACCATTAGGACGCCTGTACTCCAAAGAATAAAGTTGCAGTGATTGGAAGTTCTCTTCATAACACCTAAATTTCGATCTCCGGATTGATTTCATGTCCTACCGTTAGATGCGTTCTAGAGTGTCCTTATCTTTTGTAATGAGGGAAGAGATACTATGCTTTCGTCTTCTTAATGGGGACGAATAAGACTGTTGAAGATGAGGTTGAAAGTTCTTCTGTCGAACTGGCCGAAAATGCATTTCAACGTTAATAGTGTGAGATTTGCTCGAAAGGCATTTTTGTCGCAGTTAGCAAAAGACTTCAGATCGTAGACTACTAACACTACTAGTTCTTTCCAATCATAGTATACCTTCAGTTACCTAAGTTGTATTCGTGGTCTGCATCATTTCTAAGATGGATTTTTTTACACTTTCTAGTGTTAGAGTTACTCCTTTGTTGTCTGTACAAATCTACAGTTGAGTGAGATCCCTCTGAAGTGCTCATTTGCACTCTTGGGTGCATATTTCTCTCCAGAAATCCACATCATCAACGAAAAGTAACCAATTTGACAAAAACCACCATGGAGGATCGTTTAGATAAATCAAGAATAAAAGAGGTTCTAGTACTAAAGCTCGAGGAACCCCACCAAGACATTCCATAGCCTGAAAGAAAGTGAAGACAACACTGAAGTGGAAATAGCGATATTTTACATATGAAGTGAGGCAGTCGATTGGATATGATTCGATATGAAATCATTTGAGCTTATTGATAAGACATATATGGTTGACCCTATCAAAGGCTTTTAGATGTCGAGTTATATGACATCAACCTTCCCCTTGCGAACAAGGATGATTTTCCATCTGTCCACCGAAGTCAGCAGGTTGGTCATACAAGAGTGACGTTTTCTGAAACCATGCTGCTAGTGTGAAGAGAAGTATAAGTGTTCGCGTAGACCGTCGCACATCAAGGACTCCATAAATTGTAATGGTATTGAGAGAAGTGCTACCTAACGGTAGATTGAGAACTCGCCGCGTCGACCTCTTTTGAAAATTGGTGTGATGTGAGCCAGTTTCCAGTATCCCTTTTTGTTTATGGTACCCATTTCGAAGACCTTTATTGGAGTGGAACTTACTCTGGATTCCGATTTTCTAATGGTAATATTAAACGGAACGACCTCTAGAAACGTAATCACATCATCAAGCATTGATAACACTTTTGGCGAGACTATTATTTATGGACGAACCAATCGTAATCGTTTGAGGGATTTCAAGGTCACGGCGCCAGTTTCAGTACCTGATGTTCATGTGCGATCGATTCACAGAGAACTTCAAAGAACTTGACAATAAAGCGGTTACAACAAATGAAATTACTAAGAAGTCGCTGTATTTGTAATTACGAGTATCAAATGATTTGTTATCCTTGTGCAGACTACCTAGATGCTGTCCTTCGATGTCATACATGTTGAAGGAAGACGTTTGCTGGAATAGGAACCCTAATCGCTCGATCCTGACTGAGACTAAAGCATATTATGATAATTGCGGCGAACTGTATAAAAAGGCACCAGCAACAATGAATGCAATAATCGCAGATGTTACTGAAGCTTCAGCTGTGCAGTGTTGTGAGAGTTGTAGGGACATATTCATAATAAAAATGATAAACTTACACAACCAGAGTACACACAAACAATATTGAGACTATGTGGTCAAGGCTGAGAGGGTTTTCGTGATTTTTATAACAATCTGATCATGCCTGTAAACTGGTGTGAATTCTGTAAATATTATTTTCAGAATATATTATTATTATTATTATTATTATTATTATCATGACTGCAGAGACCAACTATTATGGAGCCATATGGATGAGCTCCCCTACTTTATGCATTACGATTTTGGAACCTTTGAAACTTTTTCTAACGTTGACAAGTTTCTGGATCGTATAAAAGAAGTGTATCCACTTTAATTATTTCGTTTTGTATAATATATTTTTACTCTATGCTGACTGACTGGCTAACATTTCTGAAGGTCACTTAGGATTCGTTCAAAGGTCGTGCATGAATTATAGTGTCGCCGCATTTTCACTTCATAAGCTCATTTATTCATAACAACCACTATAGAAACATTTTCACATTCAAATTTCGAGCATAAATGCTTATACCGATACCCATGCTCCTCAGAAGTTTACAGGTTGCATGATAATATTATTTAGGAGATACGCCTGAATTAATTATGCAATTAACTCAACTAATATGCTGATTAGACTGGCACGTCGGTAGTTAGACAATGACTGTTTCTCTAATTGTAGTATCTTTACAATTTCTAAGGTTTCGAATGAAGGTAAAGGATATATTGAATTCGATCGTCAGTGGTCATCAAATAAGACTCGATGTCTTACTAGGTCTGCAATTAATGATCAACTGAAGAACAGCTCCGTCTGTCACGTGTACGGGTCCTATAGCTGCTACTTCAGTGGTGTCGTTATGATGAATAGTGTTACCATTATTCGTAGAGATGACTTTGCTGAATTACTTTGATAATGTCTCACCTATGATCAGATGTATATATATATATATATATATATATATATATATAATCATATTAGTACTGTCAGAATAAATAAGTTAATAATTGACAAGGTGAAGATTTGGTTTTAGAAAAATGAATAGATTGTTCTGTTTGGAAGCTAGAGTAAGTTATGTGGGCTGAACATAGCATATAACTTCACACTGTTCCTCACATAGATCCCCTCAGATTGTCCAGAAGAAACACTGCCATACACAGTAAATGAAGGACAAGAAGCATGCTTGCATTCAGAAAGAAAATCACTTTATCAGTACGTTGTTTTTAAAAATGTGTTCTTTCAAATGTGACACTGAAGAGACGGTGATTAAAACTAAGAACACGTAGCGAAAAATAATCGCACTATACCCGAATAAGTACAGTGTCATGTGAGAGGTGAGTGTTTTATACGAAAGTGTTATACTTATGTAAATTAAAGTACGTGCATATTGTAAAAACGTGAATAAAAATGGCAATGTTAGCAAGTGATTATGATTAAATTAGTCGGCGTACAAAATTTCATCACGCATTTATGTAGTGACTGTCTGGATGACCAAATATCATGTTCGTATGAGAGATTCGAAATATCATGAAAACAGAATCATAAAACGTTTAAGGGAATGACAGTGGATTAAAACGTGGAAATACGTTATGCCGAATATAACGAGAATAAGTCTGTGGTGCCTACTGAATATGAGGATAAAAAACAGCGAAGACGTCGTAATAAGCCATAGTAGACTGAATAGCGTCTAATGGTGAATAATGTATTCGAATTCACATACACGGGGTTTAAGTGCGATAGAAATAATCCAGTAGTTAAGTGAAAACTGCATTGATGGGCGGTATTCGTTGTTGTACTGAAATTGATAATAATAAAAACAATAATAATAGTAA